ATTTAAGGAAAGATTTGCTGACGAACAGACGTTTCGCGCCCGTAAAGTTGGAAAGTCTGTCTTTAGCTCTGCACCTAATTACTCTGGTTATGGTCGTGCTGCTCAAGTGAAGACGGCGCGTGCTCCACGATCATTTGTGACCCAAGGAATTCGCGTAACAGTAGAGAGCGGCGATCTTGCTGACCAACGGGTAAGCAGTTGCAGAATAATAAATCATTTAAATCTGTAAAGGTCTTTCTTATGTCATAAAACAATAGTGTGCCAACCAATTACAACATACTCGCCTCATCTGTCTAAAAAGAGGGTAATCCAGCATTACATCAAAGGAAGTATTTTATCCCTGGCTATACTTCCTCGACAAAGGCACACGTCTGTAATGACGATTGTAAAAATTGATGGCTAAGGTACTTTTCCTTTGATTGTTTAGGCCGATATTTTAGTTGGAACAGCGGCATCAAATCTCAATTTGTCACAGAATCCTTGTGCCAGGGCACTCAGTCAAAGAGCAGGACCAGCATTGCAAAAACAATGTAACAAAGTAGGGCAGGTCGCTGTTGGTGATATTGCCGTTGTCGATCAACCAGGAAACCTCAAATGCCAAGCAGTTGTCTTTGCTATATGCTCCGAGTGGCAAGATGGAAAAGGAAAAAAGGTATTTGAATTTTATTTCTGCTACCGTTAATTAATGAGAAAAACTTTACTAATGGATGAAAAGAAGGATCGGAGTGGCTAAATAATTGTTAACTGACTGACTGATCGACTTACTAACCGATGGGCTCTAAGAGAAAGCGAGCTTTTGGTCATGACTGACAGAGTACCTCCACGAGAAATCAAAATAATAGCCCTCTGCATCTAATGCATTTCGTTCAATAACACTACGGTATCTGAGCCATTTTCTCACAAGAAATCTCTTTTAGTAAAATACAACGCGAGCTGCATAAATAGCATTCGTCTGTTTGAATTATGACATTAAAATATCTTGCGAGATTTCCGAGACTTAACTCGGTATTATTGCGCTAACTGCTCTCAGTTATAACATGAAGTCATCGTGATCACTGATGTATGAGTAACTAATACCTGGCAACCTCTGCATTTTCAGGTTCTGAAGAGGTTAATCAGGAAATGCCTTGAAGAGGCGACAAGAGCTGGTGTGGCATCCATTGCATTTCCTGCCATCGGAACAGGAATACTTGCATTTCCCCGTACTGAGGTCGCAGAAATCTACTTTGATGAGGTAACATCTCACAGTAAAAAAAACCCGTCAACTACACTTAAAGAAGTCAGGTTTGTTCTTTATGACAAAGACTACCCAACTATCCAAGCCTTCGAAGAGGAGATAAAAAGAAGAGATATGGAAAACACTCCTATTCCGGTCAGGAGAGCCGCGCACCCAATAAAAATTCAATCCGCGAATAACCCCTCTTCGGCTGTTTATGCATCTTCTTCTCCCAACGTGACATTTTCGCCAGTACGAGAACGAAGGCCAGATCACTTGGAAAGTAATGTTGGAGCACTGTGCTTCCTAGCCCAACCAGGTGACATTACTAACGAGAGAACGGATGCCATCGCCATCATATCTAACCCAGATCTGGATGTGAAGAGGGGAGGTGGAGCAGGGGCAGCAATTCTCAAGAAAGGAGGCCACTCCATTCAAAGAGAGTGTCAGTCATTTGGTCCACAATCACCAGGAGCAGTTGTAGTTACAAAAGCGGGGAACTTAAATGCAAGTTTTGTCTTCCACATAGTCCTTCCTCAACCTCTAAACAACAAAAGCATCAAAGTATCAGTAATGAAGTGTCTTCAAGAGGTTGAGAAAAGGGGTCTTTCATCGATCTCATTCCCTGTCATAGGAACAGGCAATCTTGGTTTTACAGCAAAGTCCTGCGCGGAGACAATGTTATCCGCAGTTTGCGACTTTAACAATCACCAGCCTGCTTCTTTAAAGCTCGTCAAGATGGTCATTTTCCAAAAAGAAATGATTAAAGACGTCCGCCTGGCAATGGAAGAAGCATCCGGACAAGCGCCAGCCAACAAACCTGGAATTTTTCAACGAGTTGTCTCCAGATTCAGTGATTTATTTGGCTTCGGGGAAAAGGACATTGAGCTTCCAAAGAGCCAAGATTCCAACAAAATTCTCCACCTTGCAGTTTTTGCTGGTTGTAAAGAGGACATTCAAGGAGCAACTCGCCGCATAAACGAAATTATGAAAGAGAACTCAACGACGCAAATTATTGAGCATGAAGCCGTCACTATATTCTCTAGAGATAATCTCCGAAAGATTCACACCCTTGAGCAAATACATGATGTTTCAGTTTCAGTCGAGAAACTTGCAGGGCGCATCGTAATTCGTGGACAGACTTCAGACATCCTCAACGTTTCAGGTGAGATCCATACGATTTTGCACAAATTGAAAGAGGAAGAACACGAACGCAAGCGAGCTGAAGAGTTGTCAAAGGATATCAGATGGAAGTACCTTGATGGCAATAACTTTGTGGAATATGGAAGCCTCATAAATGCAAAGATCGAAGCTGCTTGTAATCAGAGGAAAACCGGAGTGACCATAACCTCTGAGGAGGAAGACGATTTCCGAGTTGATTTCAGCTCAATGACGATGACCGATCCGCGTGGCGTTGCCACTCCAGTCCAGAGAATTGATCTGCGAAAAGGTAGGACTAATAAAGTTTGGTTCTAAATTGGACGAGTTAGGGAGCGTCCGTACATCAAAGCTCATCCATGAACCCGATTCTAACTCAAGAATGCTTCATTCGATATAATCTACTCTAGTGTTATACTGCTATTGATTTGTATTTACATTGTACGAGAAAGTCGTCATTCACTTTCACATCAATGATACAGATCAACAATATGGGACATGATCGATGGCATGACTATGTCATTGGTAGACTTTCTTGCCAGCTTGAATTCAGACCTGCGGTTGTTTTATAGAGTTTGTAATTCACCTTGCAACTCTATCTAATAACATGTAAAACAATATTTAGTAATTGTTCAAGTAATTTTCTGCTTAAATTGAGAAAGCCATAAAAAGTCAACTCCCTACAAAGGAGAGAAACACAATTTGGAACTCCGAGAAAAGGGCTAACCCGAATTAGGCATTTCTTCCCTTCCTCTCTGAAGATAACGTTAGTACCGAATTTGTATTAAACTCTGCCAGTAGCATTTGAGTTAACCTAACCCTTTCCATAACCATTTTCCTTCTACAAGGGGTCCTGCAACTTCCTACTCACTGGATTCCACAACCAAAGGACTCACAGGGCTTAGAAATGACTGTACATCTTGTTGAGCTGGATCCTGTGAAAGACTCACAGCAGTACGCTCATGTTCAGAACCAATTCCAGCAAACCTGTTCCAACCAAATTTTAAAGATAGAACGAGTTCAAAATCCAGCTCTCTTTGGCTCGTACATGATCCGAA